CAGGTACCGCCCGGCTCGGTGGGGCCGACACGGAGGTGTCGGGGGCGGGAGGGAAGGTGCTCCCGCGTCAGCTCTTCTTTCCCTTTTTTTCTTTTTTTTTCCCCCCTATTTTTTTCTTTTTTTTTTCTCCAGCAGAAGGGAAATTCATTACAGAAATGCAGAAAAAAAACCCCACAGTATTTTGCTGAATACTTTTTATAATGTGAGATATTTTTATTTTATTTTATTTGGTCACTTTAAAAGCAAAAAAAAAAAAGGCAACTACGGAGGAGAAAAAATCAATTAGTCCTCTATTTTATTTTTTTTTCTTTCTCCTTCTGGTATGTGCATGTCATTGCATGACTGCTCTGATTTTTTTCTTCTTTTGTTTAATAAAACTGTGCTCAGACATTTAAGCTAAACTAAGCAAAAATAATAATGACTTTAAAAAATCTTTGTTGCCAAAAGGTCGTGCTATCCAGGTTTGATGTCTGCATGTGAAAAAAAAAATTAAAAACATACAAAAATAAAGAGAAGAGAAAGAATGCAGTCTAATTTATGTGAACTGAAAGGAACAAAAAACACAATCAGGTTTAACCACACAAACCTAAGGAATGATATTTTTTGAAAGACTTTTGTATAAAGTTGAGTACTTAGAGAAAAAAAAATCATACCAGATGTAATATATTTTGTGGATGTTTTTATTTCTTGGATTTATAGTACCTTATACTAAGGTTAAAAAAATATGCTTGATATTGTGAAAAGGTGATAATTTTCACACACATTTCATTTGCTCATTTGTCATGTTGTAATGCAAATATGATAGTTAATGCATACAGCATTTTTAAGGGAAAAAATCAGAAATATTGAACTGATGTATTGTTGTACCATTTGCACTGTGAGCAAATGCTAATGCAGTAAATATATTGTGTTTGCTGACAATCAAAATCTGTAGTAAATATCTTTATTTTACCTTGCTTAAAAAAAAATATCTATATTGATTTGGAAGAAAGCAAAGTCTCTAACATGTAAGGCGAATGTTAAAATGGCTTGCTGGAAATGTGTAGGATGGCAGGCGCTGTGCCTCTTTGCAGACGACTTTGGAATCTGTTTGTACATTTTTCTAGTGTTGTATTTTATTATTTTTTTGGTATGATTTTTAAAAATAACCCAACCTTTTCTCAGTCCCCTCTCCTTCAGTTCTGTCCGCAGGCCGCCCCCGCGCTCTCGGCAAGGCGCGGGACCGGCGCGCGGCGCCTCCGGACGCGCTCCGGGGCCGGTGGGTTCCCCTCGTCCCGGTCCTGGCACCGTTTTGCGGCCGGGTGGGATAATGGTGGCGGAAAGAGGATCTCCTGCCCTCAGCCCTTAATGCTCTCCGCTCGGGGGCGGAGCGCGCGGGGGCGGAGGCGGCTGCGCCGCGAGCGGGGACGAGGCCCCGGACGAGCCCCTGGCTGCGTGGGGGACACCGGAGGCCGAGGTCCGGGGTTATCCCGCGAGTGCCGTGCGCTCCGGAGCCACATCCAGCTTGCCATGGCCTGGGAAAGGCCCTTCCAAGGGCTTTGCCGATGGGCCTGTGTCCGTGCCCGTGTCCCAGCTTCCCGCTGGACGGCGGAATGCTCCGGCATCCCGCAGACTTGCTGCTCCCTACAGAGCATCCGAGCTCGCTGGGATACAGGGCGCTCCATGCTCTTCCCTGCAGCATTCCCATTTTGGGATTTGCACCTGGGATGGGAGCCCCTGTGATTGCCAGCAGGCCCCAGCCAACACTCCGGTTGCTGGAAGCTCCCGCGCGGACGCACTGGGATTTCCAGGAGCCCCTGGAAAGCCGGCCCTGTCAGCAGGACGCGGGGCATTCCCAACCTTTCCCACCGGGAGGGAGCTCCGTGCGCTCGGGAAGGGCCGCGCAGGTGAGCCGCTTCCACGCGGATTCGAGCCTGGACGAAGCCGGAGCCGCGGCGGGAGGCGAGGGGCACCCCTGGATGTTGGAACACACGGGAACGTGCGGGAATGTGCGGGAATCGTGGCGCCCGGGGCCGCTAATCCGCTGTCCTCAGCGGCGCCCGCGGCCCCTTCCCGCTTTAGCTCCGTGCCGTAATCGCCGCGCGGGCGCCAGGATCGGGGCAAGCGGCACCGCGGCCGCCTGGCACCTTCGGCCACCCCGGCGCCGTGCGCAGCCCCCATCTGCTGCTTTTCTGCCCCAAAACCTTCGCTCTCCCCCAGCCCCGTCCCTCCAGGGCCATCTGCCCTTTCCGTGTTGGTTTTGGCTTTTTGTCCCCGCTTAAGGCGGAAGGGGAGCCCGCGGGGAGCCATTTGCCTGAATTTCCCGTGTTTTGTGTTGAAACCGAAGGTGCTTTTTGTTATTTTGGGTTTTTTTGTGCATTTTCCTGTCTGGAAATAGCTCCCGAACTGTAATTGCCTCCCACTTGCTGTGCGGCGGCGCCACCTGAGCACGGGGCCCTGTCCCTGCCCGTGTCCGCGTCCATCCGTGTGTCCGTCCCCACGTCTGTCCCTGTGCCCATCCCCGCGTCCGTCCTCGTATCCATCTGTGTGTCCGTCCCCGTGTCCGTGTGTCCGTCTCCATGTCTGTCCCCATGTCTGTCCCCATGCCCGTGTCCGTCCCCGTGTCCATCCCTGTGTCCATCTGTGCGTCCGTCCCCGTGTCCGTGTGTCCATCTCCATGTCTGTCCGTGTGTCCGTCTCCATGTCTGTCCCCATGTCTGTCCCCATGCCCGTGTCCGTCCCCGTGTCCATCCCTATGTCCATCTGTGTGTCCGTCCCCGTGTCCGTGTGTCCGTCTCCATGTCTGTCCCCATGTCTGTCCCCATGCCCATCCCCATGCCCGTGTCCGTCCCCGTGTCCATCCCTGTGTCCATCTGTGCGTCCGTCCCCGTGTCCGTGTGTCCATCTCCATGTCTGTCCGTGTGTCCGTCTCCATGTCTGTCCCCATGTCTGTCCCCATGCCCATCCCCATGCCCGTGTCCGTCCCCGTGTCCATCCCTGTGTCCATCTGTGCGTCCGTCCCCGTGTCCGTGTGTCCATCTCCATGTCTGTCCGTGTGTCCGTCTCCATGTCTGTCCCCATGTCTGTCCCCATGCCCATCCCCATGCCCGTGTCCGTCCCCGTGTCCATCCCTGTGTCCATCTGTGCGTCCGTCCCCGTGTCCGTGTGTCCATCTCCATGTCTGTCCGTGTGTCCGTCTCCATGTCTGTCCCCATGTCTGTCCCCATGCCCATCCCCATGCCCGTGTCCGTCCCCGTGTCCATCCCTGTGTCCATCTGTGCGTCCGTCCCCGTGTCCGTGTGTCCATCTCCATGTCTGTCCGTGTGTCCGTCTCCATGTCTGTCCCCATGTCTGTCCCCATGCCCATCCCCATGCCCGTGTCCGTCCCCGTGTCCATCCCTGTGTCCATCTGTGCGTCCGTCCCCGTGTCCGTGTGTCCATCTCCATGTCTGTCCGTGTGTCCGTCTCCATGTCTGTCCCCATGTCTGTCCCCATGCCCATCCCCATGCCCGTGTCTCCCGTTTCGCAGCTTTCCGAGCTTTGTCCGGGCTGGGCTCTCCGGCCCCGGCAATGGAATTCCCATCGCGTTAACCGGGAGAAACTGGGACAGAGCGAGCGTGTGAGTTGGCCCCATGCAACGACCCAGAGGAAAACCTTGATTCCCTGATTCCGCACCTGGGCAGTGCTGTCTCCGCAGGCTAAGCCTTATTTCGGGCACAAATAGGCTTGTTTTGGGAAACCGGCCCATGCTGCAGGCTTCACGGAGCCCAAGAGGCACTCGTGACCCCCCAAAGGGCTTTTTGAGGCTCTTGGAATGGGCTCAAAGCAAATGCAGAGCCCTGCGCAGGTCCCCTCGGGTTTTCCTTGTGCCGGCGGGGGATTTTGCAAGGAAAAGGGACAAGGCGTCGAGCACACGCTGACAGCGAGGCCGGGATCCTCGTGCTCCGAGGCCCAATGGCCCCAAAAGCTGCTTTTCCTTCCAAGTCCTCAATGCCAGCGCGCGGCTGGGCGGCACGGAGCCATCCGGATCTCCACCGGTGACATTACCGGGAAATGGGTTCCTAAAATACCTGGGGCTGGCGGAGGCGGGAGGAGAGGCCCCGGTTTGGCCTGGGAAGGGCCGTTTGCCGGGTCTCTGCCCTGCTGGAAAGGGCCGGGATCGCTCCAGGAGGGAGCACTGGGCACATGGGAGCAGCTGGGAGCAGCTGCGTTCGGGTTGCAGCGCCCAAATCCCGTTTTCCGCCTTCGGAGCGGCGCTCCCGCCGCGTTGGGTAGGCGCTGCGCAAACACCGGGCGCCGTTTCCTTCGGGTAAATCAATATTGTTATTTTCCCGAGCCCAAGGCCTGGTGATCGACGGCGACGCTCCCCCTTCCCTCCGGGTTTCAGCGAAACCGGGATCGGGAGATTGGCTGGAATCAGGCGGGATGAGGCAAGCGGATGCCGAGGCGGTGAGCGAGGTGCGCGGAGCTGCCCGGCTCCCTGGCACGGGGACGGGCCCCTGCTGAGCCCAGGTCACACAACACCAGTGCAGCGAGCTGGGTTGGGCCTCAGCTGGGTGCTGGGATGGAGTCAATCCAGGCGGGATTAACTTTGCAGCGATTGCAAAGCTTGGGGTGGCCCCGCTAGCGTGATCGTCACGTGCTTATTTCTTAATTATTATTATTATTTCCCCCCCCCTCCTCCGCCGTGTTCTTGGTACAGGTAGCTAAAAAACAATGTTATAGTTGAGCCACAACCGTGTTTCACAACCATGCTTAAAATGGATATTTTTGTAGCATAGTCAGGGCCTAAAACAGCCTTGCAAAATTCTGCTCGCCCACGCGCCTGGCGTGAGTAATTTTCTTTTGATGGGTGAGTAAAATATCATTATTTTTTTTTCATGCTCATCTTGGAATGGGTGGGAGAGCGGATTCTGACATGATTTCGGAGCGCTCCGCAGCGGCCCCGCGCTCCGAGGACGCCCCTCGACGCCGGGATCGCCGCGGGCTCTGCTCCAGCCCCGGAGGGGACATTGGCACCCGGTCACGTGCGGGATGTCCCCCCGCGGTGACCTCTCCGGGTCTTTGGCGCGGAGTCTCTCCCACCGGGAGCCGTTTGCGCTCCGCGCGGATCATTTTTTCCTCCGCGCATCCGCGCTCTGTTTGGAGCCGTTGCCATGAGTCCCTGGAAGGCAGCGGGAGCGGGTGGGACGGAGCGCGCGGTTTCCATGGGCACGGAGCGGCGCGGCAGCCGGAGCGGCGCGGGGCCGCCGGCCGGCCCCCGTGCCTCCTCGCG